GTGAGTTCGGTTTTTTAACTTTTTTTAGTTTTTCAAGCTGAAGAACTGACTACTTACCCTCCTGCTTTGGTGAATGTTCAGGAGGCAGATTTTAGGAGAACGCCTTGGAGCGCTTGTGCTTTTCAGGTCTCTGTATTATGTAGGTTGATCTTCTAGTGACCCTCCAGCTATGTGTGGATTGAAGGAATCCGTTGCTTTATATTTTTTTGTTCACGAAAAAAATATGAATCACCTATGGCCAGCTTTGGAAAGTAAAGGTACCGAGGTACACAAGGATCAACCTGAAGACATTTAAAGCGTTTATATAAAGCTCAGACTTGAAATATGTACAAAGTATATCCCTCTATAGTGTGTACTTGTCTCAGTCCAGAGAGCACTAAGTGCCATTTCTCCATGCTGCCTTCTTTCCTCTGCTATTAGCATGAGTCACATCTTGAATTATGAACAAAGTATATCCCTCTATAGTGTGTACTTGTCTCAGTCCAGAGCACTAAGTGCCATTTCTCTATGCTGCCAAATCTATGATCGTTCCTCTGCTAATTAGCATGAGTCACATGACAGGGGTGGGACCTCCCGCAGATGAACACACCTCACTACAAAGCCTGTGATTTGGACAGCCTGAGCTCTGTTCCTGTGAGCTGTGTGAAGGTGGGGGATGGGCCAGGGGTGTTGTCGGCTCACTTGTCAGGCTTCTCCACTCCATTTTGTGGGGGGGAGGGGCTGGGGTGTTGTTGGTGGGTCACTGAGTCTTGGGTTCCTCCATGGGTGGGGGGGATGGGGCTGGGGTGTTTTGTTGGTCACTGTCAGGCTCTCTCCATGGTGGGGGCGGATGGGGCTGGGGTGTTGTTGGTCACTGTCAGGTAGGAGTCTCCACCATGGGGTGGGAGGGATGTGGGGCTGGGTGTAGTTGATGGACAAGGAGCACAGATGTCAGGGTCTCTTCATGGGTTGGGGGGGTAGGGGGTGGATGGATGGGATGTTGTGGTTTTGAGGGGTGGTGGGTGTTTGTTGGGGGGCTGGGGGCTGTCAGGCAGGGGTCCCTCTCCATGGTGGAAGGGTGATTGTGGGGGGGAGGACGGAGTGCAGGGATGGGCAGGAGGTGTGGGGTGGGGGGAGATGATTGACTTATTGTTTGGTTGGGGGAGGATGGTGGTCAGGATGGGGAGGCGGCTTGTGCACGGACTTCCACCTAGGGTTTGGGGTGAGGTTTTAAGGGGGGGATTGGGGGGGATGGGCTGGGGTGTTGTTGGTCCTGGGGGACTGTCAGGCTCTCTTCAAGGGGGGGTTGGGGTATTTTGGACAGGATGGGGCTGGGGTGTTGTTGCGGTCACTGTCAGATTTTTTGGGTCTGCTCCATGGGGTTGGGTAGGGGGAAGGGCAGTAGGTGGGGGTGTTGTTGGTCACTGTCAGGCTCTCTCCATGGGTGGGACTGTGGGATGGGGCAGGATGTGTTGCAGGAGGTCACTGTCAGGGTCTCTCCATGGGTGGTGGGGAAGTTGAAGTGGGCAGGGGGTGTTGTTGGTCAGTGTCAAGGCTCCTCTCCCATGGGAGGGGTGGGTGGTGGGGGGGGGGGATGGGGGGGGTGTGGGGTGGTGTGAGGGTTGGGGGGGGGGGGGGTGTTGTTGGTCAGGATGTCCGAGGGGGTAGCTCTCCAATCCATGGGGTGGGGGGGGAAGGGGCAGGGGTGGTTTGTTGGTCAGTGTCAGGGTCGCCACCCACCACGATCAAAGCCCACGAACGCCGTCCATGGGTGCTGGGGATGGTAGGCCCCCAGGAGTCGTGTTGGTCAACTGTCCAGGCTCTTCCTCACATGGGTGGGTGGATGGGGCAGGAGTGTTGCGTATTGGGGGTTCGTCTCCGTCAGGCATCACTCCATGGGTGGGGGGGGATGGGGCAGGTAGTGTTTGTTGGTCCCTGTACAGGCAGTCTCTCTCCATGGGTGGGGGGGGATAGGGCAGGGTGTTTGTTGGCTCACTGTCAGAACTCTCTACCCATGGGTGGGGGGGGGGATGGGGCAGGGTGTTGTTGGGCTACTGTCAGGCTCGTCTCCATGGGTGGGGGGATGGCGCAGGAGTGTTGTTGCTAACTGTCAGGCTCTCTCCATGGGTGGGGGGATGGGCAGGATATGTAGTTTGGGCTACTGTCAGGGACTCTCTCCAATGGGTGGGGTGGTGGGGATGGGGCAGGTGTGTTGGTTATACTGTTTTTACCCCCATGGGGCTCCCAACCCAACAAGAAAGCGGAGCAACTCAGCGGGGTCCATGGTGGGGGGGATGGGGCATTGGTGTTGTTGGCCACTGTCAGGCTCTCTTCATGGTGGGGGTGGGGGATGGGGCAGGAGTGTTTGTTGGCACAGTCAGGCTCTCACCACCATGGGTGGGGAGGGGAAGGGGCAGGGGTGTTGTTGGTCAGTGTCAGGTGGTCTCCTCCTGGGGGGATGGGGCAGGGGTGTTGTTGGTCACTGTCAGGCTTTCTCCATGGGTGGGGGTAGGGGGGGATGGGCAGGGGTGTTGTTGGTCACTGTCAGGCTCTCTCCATGGGTGGGGGGGATGGGGCAGGGGGCAGGGTGTTGTTGGCTACTGTCAGGCTCTCTCCATGGGTGGGGGGGATGGGGCAGGGGTGTTGTTGGCTACTGTCAGGCTCTCTCCATGGGTGGGGGGGGATGGGGCAGGAGTGTTGTTGGCTACTGTCAGGCTCTCTCCATGGGTGGGGGGGATGGGGGCAGGGGTGTTGTTGGCTACTGTCAGCTCTCTCTCCATGGGTGGGGGGGATGGGGCAGGGGTGTTGTTGGCTACTGTCAGGCTCTCTCCATGGGTGGGGGGATGGAGGGGGCAGGAGTGTTGTTGGCTACTGTCAGGCTCTCTCCATGGGTGGGGGGGATGGGGCAGGGGTGTTGTTGGTCACTGTCAGGCTCTCTTCATGGGTGGGGTGGGGGGATGGGGCAGGAGTGTTGTTGGTCACAGTCAGGCTCTCACCATGGGTGGGGGGGAAGGGGCAGGGGTGTTGTTGGTCAGTGTCAGGGTCTCTCCATGGGTGGGGGGGATGGGGCAGGGGTGTTGTTGGTCACTGTCAGGCTTTTTTCTTTCTCCATGGGTGGGGGTGGGGGGGATGGGGCAGGGGTGTTGTTGGTCACTGTCAGGGTCTCTCTCCATGGGTGGGGGGGATGGGGCAGGGGTGGTGTGTTGGTCACAGTCAGGCTCTCACCATGGGTGGGGGGGAAGGGGCAGGGGTGTTGTTGGTCACTGTCAGGCTCTCTCCATGGGTGGGGGGATGGGGCAGGGGTGTTGTTGGTCACTGTCAGGCTCTCTCCACGAAAGTGGGGGTGGGTCTGGTGTTGGTCTGTGGCAGGCTCTCTCCCGCCGGGGAGGGGGCGTCCAGTTTTTGGGCAGCACAAAGCCTAAATCCACCACTGCATATATAGGAGTGATGGTCAGGTGGTCACAGCTTTTTGTGACTATATAGTGTAAATACTATAATAATAATACCAGCTGACACAACCTGGGAATTCGGGGAAACCGCTCATTTTTAATTTATACTTTATGAAACTTTTTGCTTTGCATGGTGAAAGTACTTAAAGCTGAACTCCAGGAATTCCGCTACTTTGTAAAAACTGCAGGCGTACCATGAGGTAAGTCTAACAAGGTGCCCACTGCCTTGCCTCTAGGCCTATTTACATCTGACAGGTTAATTGTGCTCTATGAAGATTACTTCCAGAGGTCCGAGGCTGCTCACTGTGGTTCTTCAATTCCTTCAAGAGCGGAGTTGCTGGAACTGCCCACCAACTCCCCTCCTTCCCATTCACAGAAGTCTTTGTATTATGTGAACTCATTCGCAAAATACAAAGGCTTCTGTGAATGGGCAGCATGGGGAGGGGAGGGGTGGGCATAGCTGCTGTGTGTGTGCTTCTCACCTCTCACAGCCTGAGTGTGTCTTCTGGGGAATGCAAATACCTGTCACCTATAAGTAATAGAAACTCCCGAAGATGACATGCACCTGACTGGACCTAACCAACGGCATGCCTGCATTTTTGCATAGTGGCTGATTTCCTTGAATTCAGCTTTAAGCAGAAAGTCTGATCTTTATTGTGGGAATTTTCCACACAAAGAGTGTGACTGTGTCTAAATGATATAATGCGTGTAGTAGATTAAAAGACTTTTGGAAAAGGTGGCTTATCTGCTGCAATTTACACTGATCAGCCATAACATTATGACCACTGGCAGGTAAAGTGGATCACATTGATTATCTCATTACAATGGCACCTGAAAGTGGATATATTATTAGGCAGCAAGTGAACATGTTGTTTCTGAAGTTGATGTGTTGAAAGCAGAAAAAATGGGCAAGTGTAATGCAGGCGATAGGCGGGTCAAACATTGGACAATTTAAAAAAAAAAAAAAAAAAAACCCGAAAAAATCGGTCGTTCAATCGGCTGACGTTACCACCAACGTTAACAAAATCGTCCGATTTTCGACCCGTCTACGGCCGGCTTTAACCCCATAACTTCTGTCCCTTGCAGAGACAGGGGAGCGCACCGTACAATGTGACAGCAATACAAATACATTTTATTTTTATTTGGATACATTTGTTGCAACCGCAAGACTTTTTCATGTAAAATATAATAGCGCAGAATTTCATGTTGTTCTAACTTGCTGTCCTTGATGAACTCGGAAACGTGGTAACGCACATGGTCAGAATAGCACCAGTTGCACAGCTCTCGATGTACACAGGATGATGTCTTTTGGCACACTGAAGGTCGGTGCTCCCTGTGACTGAGCGTGCAGCCTTACGCTATGGTACAAAACTAGTCTTGAAACTTTTTCATACCACCTCGTCAGTAAGTACGTTTAAAAATCAGCAGGAATCATTTTTTTGGATGCAACGATGTACAGCAACAGAACATCTTTCAATAAGCTTTGCCGCTTTATCATTAACCTCCCTGGCGGTATTCCCGAGTGTAGCTCGGGGCAAAGTTTCAGCACCACAAGCGGTAACCCCGAGCTAC